AATTGCATTGGGAAAGTCAGCTGTCAGAGACCTTCCCAGAGTACTGAAGAGCAACGATGTCAATCTGGAGACTAAGGTGTGCCTGACCTAGGCCATGGTCTTTGCAATTATTTTCCATGAATCAGAAAGCTGGAAAATGACTAGAGCTGACAGAAGGAGAATTGATGCCTTTGAGCTGTGGTGCTGGAGAAGAGTATTGAATATACCATGGACTGCTAGGAAAACAAACAGGTTCATCTGAAAAAGGATGAAATGAGGCTGCTCCTTGGAGGCAAGGATTCTGAAGCTGCATCTGACATACTTTGGACATGATGCAAGGAGGGACCAGTCCTTGGAGAGGGATGTCATGCTTAGGAGGGTGGAGGGACAGCGCAGGAGGGGAAGAAGACACTGGATGAGATAGATTCAGTGACTGTGGTAATGAGTGTAGGTGTGTCAGAGTCAGAGACAATGAGATTGGCTGATAGAACAGGGTTCATTGCTGTTATACATAGGGTTGCTATGAGTTCCAAGTGACTCAATGGCACATAACTACCATTGAGTCAGAGCTGACCCTCCACTGGGTTTTCATAAGCAGTTTAAGTGCACAGGAAATTGCCCATTTTTCTCCCACGGTGTAGCTGGCGGATTTGAACTGTGTGCCTTTGGCATTGCAGCTCAGCTCCTTACCACTAGGCTACCAGAGTTCTGTTGCAAAGGGTAAAAATTGCTTTATTAACCTTTTTATTTCAGTTAGTTCTGTTGTGACATTGTCCCTTTCATCTTATTCTGATTATTTTTGTCTTTTCTTTCTTTTTCCCTTGTTAGCTTTGCTAGTGGTTTATCTTTTTTTACAAATCTTTTGGAAGAACCAGTTTCTGGTGTGATTAATAATTTTAGTGTCTTCTATGCCATTTATTTCTGCCCTAGTTTTTATAATTTCCTTTCTTCTAGGTGCTGCCAGGTTTTCTTGCTGTTCTTTTTCTACTTGTTGGAGATGTTGGGTTAAATAATCAATTCTCATTCTTTCTTCCCTTTTGATGTACTTGCTTATTGCTGTGAATTAACTTCAAAGTACTACTTTGGCTATTTTCTGGAGATTTTGGTAAGTTGTATTTTCATTCCCGTTTGTTTCAAGAAACTTGTTTTATTTCTTCTCTTACCCACTCGTGTTCAAGCAGGGTGTTATTTAGCTTCCAGGTATTTGGTTTTATGTCTTTTATCCTCTTGTTATTGATTCCTAATTTTGTAGTATTGTTGTCTAAGCAAATGCTTTGTATTATTTCAATGGCCTTTTTAATTTATTGACACTTACTTTGTGACCTAAAATATGATCTATCCTGAGAATGTTCCATGCATGTTGGAGAAGGTGGTATACTGAGCTTTTTAGAGATGCATTAACTTATCTATCTATCTATCTATCCATCTAAAATTTATATATACACACACACATACACATATATGAGATCAAGTTGGTTGATTGTGTGGTTTAATTTTTCAGCGTCTTTGCTAAGTTTCTTTCTGGTAGTCCTATCTTGAGAGTGGTGTGTTGAAGTCTTCTACTACTATCATAGTGTTGTCTATTTCTTTTATTGTTAACATTTGCTTTCTGTATTTTGTGGCTCTAGAATTTGGTGCATAGATTTATTATGGTTCTGTCCTTTTGTTCTATTGACCCTTTAAGCATTCTTTAGTGACCTTCCTTGTCCTTTGTGATGGTTTTTACACTGAAATCTATTTTATCACAGATTACTATTGCTACTCCTGCTTTTCTATAGTTGCTTGATATATTTTTTCCATCTTTTTCTCTTTTAGTCTTTTTTTTATCTTCACTTTTCAAGTGTGTCTCTTGTACACAGCATTATTGATAAGTTTCTGAGTCTTTTTATCCCGTCTTTTTCTTTTTGCTGGTGCACTGAAACCATTAACATTCGGTTTAATTATTGAGAGGCAAGGTTTTATTGAGATCATTTTATTGGGTTATTTTTGATGTTGTTGCTGATTAATTTGATCCATACATCCCCCGCCCGGGGCATCTCTATAAGAAGGATTTCCTTCAGTATTTCTTGCAACATTGGTCTTGTTTTTACAAACTCTCTTAGTTTCTGCTTTTCTGAGAATCATGTTTGATGGACAGTTTTGCTAGGTACAGTATTTTTCATTGACAGTTGTGTTCGATATATGTCATTCCTCTGTCTTTTTGCTCACATTGTTTCTGCTGAAAATTTGGCACTTGGTCTAATTTGCCCTCCTTCATAGGTTAATGTTAATTTCTTCCTAGCTGCTTTCAGAATTCTCTCGTCTTTGATTCTGGTGAATCTGACTATGATATGCCTTGGTGTTTTTCTTTCGCGGCCTGTTCTATACAGGGTTCGCTCGGCTTCTTGTGTGTATATTCTCTCATTCTTCGTTATATCTGGAAAGTTTTCCTGGAAAGTAACCCTTCCACAGTTTTCTCAGTGCCTTTTCTTCTTCTTCTTCCTGTTCTGGAATTCCAATTGCTCTGGAATTCCAATTGTTTTTGTTTACAATCTTGAGTCAGAACCTACTCATAGTTGACCCTCCAGCAGGTTTTCAGAGGCAGTTAATCACACAGGAAGAGACTGCCCATCTCTACTGCTGTGGAGTAGCTGGTGGATTTGCACCACATGCACTTGGGATTGCAGTGCAGCTTCTTACCACTAGACCAATGGTGTTCCACGTTATTCTTTGTTTTCTTGATTTTCTTTCCTTTTTGATTCTGTCTTTTGCTCTGCACTGTCTTTCAGCATGGTCAGTGTGGTGGCTGGGCACCACCTAGTTCTCTGGCCTCAGGGTTGTGGAGGTTGAGATTTGCATGGTCCATTAGTTCTTTGGAATGGCTGCTTTTATGCATATTGGCCTAGGTTTTTGTTTCGTTTTTTGCCAGGCCTCTTGTGTAGCTTGGGCTTCATTGGCTACTGGTCATTTTGTTTGGTTCAGTGATTCTGTTTTCTTATCATTGCAGAGATGAGGGTTTACAACACAATGACAGCAATTCATAAGAAAGAGAACAGTTCCATAATGCTGTGAATTGTGACCCAAAAGAGTTGATTTGGAGGGACATAGTTCAATCCATAACACTGGTGGCAAAGCTTATAGCGTCACAGCAACACACAAGCCCTCCAAGTACATCAAGCTGACAGACAGCTGAGTGGTGGTTTTGTAAAGATTTTGGCAAAAAAAATAAATATAAATCCTTATAAAGCTTAGCTATAGTCTGCGTGACTTAGTTTTCAATCTGTACACAGAACAGATTATTCAAAAGGCTAGACTGTATCACGAGGAATGTGGTATCAGCATTAGAGGAAGACTCATCAACAACCTGCATCATGCAGATGGTACAACCTTGCTTACCAAAACTGTGGAGGATCTGAAGCATTTGCAGCAAAAGGTCAAGGACTGTAGTTTACAATACGGATTAAAGCTCAACATCAAGAGAACAAAGATTTTTATCACTGGGCCAGTTGGCAGCACTATGATGGATGGAGAAGAGATTGAGGTTATTAACAGTTACAGCTTGGTTGGCTCCACAATTAACACTTAAAGCACTAGCCAAAATAAATCAAAACCAGTCAGGAAATCAAAAGCTAATTGTATCAGGTAAATGTGCTGTCAGGGACCTCTCCAGAGTGTTGAAGAGCAAAGATGTCAATCTAGAGACTAAGGTGCACCTAATCCAAGGCCATGTCTTCACAATTACTTGCTATGAATGAGAGAGCTGGACAATGACCAAGTATGACAGAAGAATTTATGCCTTTGAGTTGTGGTGCTGGAGAAGAGTACTGAGTATACCATGGATTGCCAAGAAAACTAACACATCTGTCCTGGAGAGGGAGAAACCAAGCTGCTCCTTGGAGGCAAGGGTTTTGGGCATGTAACCAGGATGGACCAGTCTTTGGAGAGAAGCATCATGCTTGGAACTTTGGAGAGGCAATGCAGGAGAGGAAGACCCCAGATGAGATGGAGTGACACAAAAATTGGGCTAATTAGGGTAGGTTTGTCAGAGACAGTAAGGTTGGCTCAGGAGAAAGCAGGGTTTAGAGGGTCACTATGAGTTGTACTAAACTTGATGGCACATTACAACAATATACTCTGTGTAACATGTGGGTCCCTATGAGTTGGAATGGACTCAATGTCATTCATAGGAAATTTTGTCCCGACCAACCTGACAGGACCCAGACTTGAAGACCCTCCAGTGAGCTTTGAGAGGCAATTAATTACACAGGATGCTAACCTCTCTGTACCTGAGGTGCTAAAATAAGCCTTCCTCCTCCTCCCCACACATCCTGGGGTCTCTATGACAGCAAATGACTATGGGAGAAGTGGGCAGAGGTAGATCTGACATGGTGATCTGGGCAGATGGTGTGCTGGGGCAGGGGAGGCACTGAGAGGCTCGAGCTGGCTTTAGCGGCATGGCAGCAATCTGTGACCACTAGGGAATGTCACTAGGTTTCTGGTGTTGGTCTCTTTTCTCCCCTTCACAACTCATGAGTAGCAGATGGAAACCTTGTCTTTCTCTGCACTGTTCTGCATCTTGGCCGGGCTCAAGCCCAGTGCTGCAGTCTGACACAGCAGGCGGTCAGGTTTGTTGTGATGAATAAAATGAATGTGCACTGGAAGAGATGCAAGCTGGACTTCGGTGAAGATTCTCGTTGGCAAAGATTTTAAGTACTTTCCCGTCCCAGCAAGCCTCCACATCGTGGCATCTCCCGGCCCCTTTTCCACTCTGCTTTCTCCCACAAGCTGACCGTGGTCTTGGGCTCTGGGCCCCAGAATGCCAGGCATCAAGGGGTCTCAAAGAAACAAGCGAAAATAAATGGTCAGCAGGCCCAGATGGGCCGGAGGAGGGGGGTATCCAGCTGGGCTAGATATAGCGTCCAGCGGGACCTGGGTGTCCATGTTTCCTGACTCTCCCATCAGTAACCATTGCTCAGCACTGTTCAGGGAAATGAAACCAGTTCCTGCTCATCGTGACCTACAGGGCAGAGCGGAACCAGCGTAGGTCTTTGTCCCGTAGAGCGGCCGGCGACCTAAACGTAGGTCTTTCCCTTAGCAACAGAACGCTTAATTCACTGTGCCACCGGGTCTCTTTGCAGAATGGCTGGGCCGCTGAGGATCCCACAACGAGAGCTGGGCAGGAGGTCCTGCCAGAACACTGACAACCACGGTCAGCAGGGGGAGAAAATTCGAGATCCGAGTGACAAGGCAATAAGGGCGGGACGGAGAGGGTGCGGGGTGGAGGGGTCGCGGCTCCGACCACACCGAGCACGTGGCCCTCATGGCTTTGCAGGCAGGTTTGGGAGGTGGGTCCGAGAATTAAATATCAGGAGACGGGCACCCGGGATAGGAAACGAGGACCTCCCCGAGCACTTCCAGCCCCGTCCGGTGGAACCGCTCCCGGTACAGACCCGCGCAGTTCCCCCCAGCCAGGACTGCGCACGCGCACATCACAGACACGCGACGCTGTCTCTTACGTCATCAGTCCTGGCCCGCCGGCGTGTCGGACATGGGCGCCGCCATGATGTGTTACGGAACCCAGTGAGGCTCCGCACGCGCCGCTCAGGCGCCCCGGCACCGCCAGGAAGGTTCCTGACCACGCCGTCACCACCAGAACACGTCCTCTCTCGGGGCTCCACCCCGCGGGGCGGGAGATGCCCGCGATGCGGCTGCGGCCCGCGGGCCCCACGGGCGCCGCCATGCTGCGGGGTCCTCGCGGCGGCGCGTAGGTGTCTCGCGAGGTGCCTGCTCCGCGGCGCCTGGCCCCGCCCCCCGCAAGATGGCGTCCATGCGGGAGAGTGACACCGGCCTGTGGCTCCACAACAAGCTGGGGGCCACCGACGAGCTGTGGGCGCCGCCGAGCATCGCGTCCCTGCTCACCGCCGCCGTCATCGACAACATCCGCCTCTGCTTCCACGGCCTCTCGTCGGCCGTGAAACTCAAGCTGCTGCTCGGGACCCTCCACCTCCCGCGCCGCACGGTGGACGAGGTGAGGCGGCTGGCGGGGCCGGAGGGGCGGAGTGGAGGCGCGCACGGGGCTGGGGCGAGCGGGCGCCGCGGGTCCCAGCTGTCCACTCGGTGCCCGCTCTTCCCTCCCGCGGCCTCACCCCCTTCTGATTCTCCGCCTCCCCGACTCTCCCCCACCCCGTCCCC